TAGGCAGAATTCCAGGATGAGGCTGCAGGAAACAGGGAAAAGGAAATTCCGGTTTAGGTTGAGTGATAGGGACCCTACCCTTGCAGAAGATGGTGCCAAGATTCAATTTCAGAATGTGCAAAATCCCCTTCCCACCCATACATATTTCATGAGTGAATTAGAAAAGGGGAAGGAAGTCGGGTGGGTCCTCAGACTTAACAAAGGAACAGGAGAAAATGGGATGGGGAGAGGGAGGGATGCAGACAGGGTCCCTAGGGAAAGTATTGCCGAACACGGTTTTCACATACATTTTAGAGACACTACTCGTTTCTACAGTTGGAAGTTGGGAAGTAAGTCTAGGAGCTACTGTTGGTATGTCTAATCTACAATTTAATATACTACAATGCATAAGCTACATTTTAGGTAAAATATAGTTTCAGTTTTCTGGTAAACAGCAGGGTTGTATTCTAGAAAATAGGAGCCACCTGTAGACCTGCCATGACCATATTCCTGCATATTCACTCAGTCTCTTTCCCCTAGGGCTGCGCTCTTGTCCATCCCCTCTTCCTCAGGACTGCTGTGACTATGGTCATCTCGGCTTCCTAGCCTCCGAGGTCACTGCTCACTCCAGTGACAATGGCTGAGGGAAGAGCTCCAGAGGCGATGAGACTTGAGTTCACTCTCAGCCCAAGTCAGCTCCAGCTTTCCAACCAGTCAGACTGAAATAATATCATTTACCTCACGAAGGCCCTACCTCAACCTCCTTTTTTTTTTTTATGAAAAGTAACCAAACCAAATACCCCATGTGTCCTCATTATTTCTAGAATAAGGTGAAATTTCTCAGCCCTCAGACTCCTCCATAGTCTGGCCCCAACCTCATTTCTCACTAGATCCTCTTTCTCCTGCCTTTTCTCCCACCCCCAGCTCCTGGTACTCTGGTGACAAAAAATGGTTTCAGATTTTAGAAAAACATCTTGTATTTGACATCTCTGTGCATCTTCTAATGCTGTTCTTCAACCTAATTGTTTAAATCCAACCCAAACTACCTTAAGGCTCAAGTCAAACTCTACTTCTACCTTTTAAAAGAAAATCCTATTTCCCCAGGTGTAAATTATTCTTCTCACTCCTATGTAGCTCTCTTGGATTCTCATCACTGCCTTCTGTATCTCATTTATTTGCATCAGTGTCTTTTTTCCACAACTAGACTATACTTCTTGAGGGTAGGAGCTAACACAGTTATTCTGGATCCTCTATAAAATCAGCTTAAATAGAAAGTTAGTGAATGAATGAAGATGGAGTGTATTCTAGAATGACAGGACAGTCACACAAATTCAGACTACATCGATTAGGAAAGCACCAAAGAAACCATAATAAAAACTTAAAAATTGCTTAATATAAAACAGTACACACATCCCCCATTACCAGTCATGAAATTCTGCCAATTTTACTATCTAAATGACTCTTAACATCTACTGTCTTCTCAGTTCCCATAGTCACTGCCCTGGCTCAGGCTGACATCTCTCACCTGACTCACTACAACAGCTTTCTTGGGTTTCTCTCCAACATTTCCCTCTTCCTCACTCAATTTTTCCTCTAAACCAATGCCAGAGAGATCTCACAAAAGCTACAAGTGATTATGCCACTTCCTTTCTTTGATGGCATTCCTCTGCCAGAAAGGCAAGTTTAAACTCCTTAGGGTGGCTTACTGGGTCTTTCACAAGTGAATTGTAGCCTCCCTTTCAACCTGCCCTTTTCCATTCCCCGTGAATCACCCAGGGGTCTAGTCGTGTGTATTCTTGCTGGTCCCTCTGCCTGAGATGCTCTCCCTGCCTTTCTTTAAGACCATGAGTCATCCTTCTGGGATAAGCTCAAAAATCCCCATTTGGTCACCCATGCCCCTTCCTCTATTGATATAATCGCAGAATTAAGACTAGGAAAAACAATGCCTGCATAAGAGGTCATTTCTTTAAAGAACTAATGACCAAATGTTAATCCTTTGACCATAATGCTTAGAACACAGCTGATTTCCGTCCCATTCTCAAAGTACTCGCATAACAATTTTCAACATTTAGGAATGAGTGCTGCTTAATTTGGCCCATAGCTATTTAACACAACATACAAAAACTGAGTGCTTCCTGAGAAACCTGTGATAATTACACATTTAATTCTTTTTTTAATTTCAGAAACACCTTGGCAAAAGCACAGAGTGAAGTGCTTCTCTAATTGCATGCATTTGGAATCATGGCATTTTACAAGTTTAAGAAAATATGAGAAATGCCTACTCAGAAATCTCTAATCTCCTTCAATTTGTAATAAGATGTACCAGCAACAAAGGCTTTATTCTATCAAATTCATGTCTTTCCCTCTACAGTAGTACTTCAAAGTAGCTTTCTCTTTGGCACACATGTGGCATTCTAGAACTGGAAAAGCAATGTAGTTCAGTGAAAAGAATGACTGAATAGGCAACTTGTATTCTAACTCAAATTTTATCACTGTCTACTTAGCTAGCGTTGGCCCAGGAATGGTAGATGAGATAGAAGAAGTATTTTAAAATCATAAAAGAAAGGAAATCTGTATGTAACTTCAGAGGTGGGCCATTATTGTTATAACAAGGAGAGGAAACTGCAGACCTAGGTTTATGTTAAGTAAACTGCAGTTGCCTCTTTCCGTGCTGTGTGTTATAACTGAGTTTCCATGCACAAGAGCAGATGATTGCTACTGAAAAGAAAGGCAAGGCAGGAAAATTGAAAATGTTGCACCAACCTCATGAACACTGTGAGCTTAAGGGGTAAGCAAAGGTAGATATACCTAAAATGCTCGAGACATAAAAGATTAAAATAAACTATCATGTGGGTGTTATTCTTAGTAACTTGTAAAAAGTGTAAGCCTCCAGTACCAAATAATCCATTTAGTGGTGTACTACGTCAATAATAGCCTCAAGAGTTGATTGGTTCAACTGCTGTCATTCTGCAGAAGGGAGATCACAGAATGGCTGAGTTTATATCTATCACTAAGAAAGAAAGATCCTTAATATTTACCTTTCTTTCTATTAAGCTTCACGGGAAAGTCTACATAGAAGAAGTTCTAATTCCACTATTTATTTATGTACCATCTTTGCTCTCAAAGGCACAAACATTTCAGAGCTATTAATGCATCCGTCATATGACATTCATGTAAGAAGTAAAAAACTTTAGTGTTCTGTTTTACAAACGAAATGAAAGTTTAAAAGTAACAGACAGCAAATAACCATAAGCAAATTTGCAAATTTTCAACCACTAAATTTCTGTCTCATGTTAAAGGCCTTTATAATTACAGGCATTAAATTCAGATGTTTATAGTTATAAGACCACACTAGCTGTAAATATTTATAACATTCTGGGATGAACTAAATATAAGACAAAGATAACATAGGTATCTTTTTAAAAAGCACAAAGTTGTTTGTGACCTAAAGCTGATTATTTTTAACTTTGGCAAAGTGGTACCCTATTGTATGATTTTGAAAGATCTTGATGTACCTGAAGTCGTCGCTGGTTTACTGCATCTAATCTGCAATCAATTGTAAGATGTAGCATTTATTTTAAGAACCACTAGCAAAGAAAAATGCTTACAATTAAACTATGAGATGTTTTCATATCATCGATTGTTAGGACTCATCCTGATTTCAGGGATGCTAAAATGTGGGGAAAACATGCATCTTGAAATCAATAAAATATGACATATGAAAACTGTTACTCTTCTAATTAAAATGAATTAAGAGGACTATTCTTTTGAGAAACTTAAGCCACATGCTATGATACTCAAATATCCTAAGGACACAGCAGAGGTTGAGAGTTAGTCTGTGAAATAGTCCACCGTCAGGGTGGTTTTATAATAACAACTTGAACAAGCTGCTAAATTTTTCAGTGGTACCTAGCAAAGTGAAGGTATGTGAGACCTCCACCTGCACTTAAAGTCAATAGTCACTCTTAAAATAGCTCAATCACAAGGATTTGAAACTGCCTAATTATTTTTTCTCTTAAAAAACCAACTGTTACGATTCAGCATCCTTCTGTTAAAGACATGCTGTGTTATTAAACTAAACAGCCAGTGTTGGACATGCCACCTCTTCTCCCGCTCAATAAAACCCTGTCACTTGTAGTCATGGACTTGGAGCATAAAAAGCATGAAGCAACTTTTTCCCCCTTGGAAAGGGTTGAAAATAAAATTCCAAGGAAAAATTAGAGTCAGAGAAAGACATGTTTATATGCCCAGAGGAATTTTCCCCTTCATGAGCAATCCTGGATGGCACAGCACCGAGAATGAAGTCTTAACAAACAACAACAAGGTCCACAGATAACAATGCATGGCAGAAGAAAGTGGTCTCATTGTGTTCCCAGCCTAACAGCAGTATTGCCAGTTCTAGGGTTCAATCTTGAATAACTGCTTTCAGGAAGACCAAGCAGAATGTCCCTTTCCTCTAGTTTTAACTGCATCCAAACAATATAACTCTTGTTGGAACACAAGCCTTCATAAGATACTGGGAAAACTCCCCTCTGACCCTGCCACTGGGTGAGAGCATCTATAATCTGTTTTCTTGCTCTTATCTGTTTCTGGTGACTTAGGATTCATTCATTTGGCAACTAGATCCATCTCTGTACTAAACATAAGAGTACATCGGAATGTTCTTTCAAAAATCCATATTCTCCAAACTATCTGATTAGGCACAACTTCCAAAGTCAAACTTGAAGGTCATCAAATCAGAATCATAAACAGACATGCATTCGTATTTGCTTAAATGCTCATATTCCTACATGATTTACTTTTGAGAAGAGTTCTCCTATAAATCCAGTGTCATAAACCACTTGCTTAGAGCTATGAGCAGCTGTCATTTTCACTAAGAAGAATGCTCTTGGCTGGGGCTGGCGGGGAGGACCCAAACCTAAAGAATTTAAAATAAAATATTATCTCCTTCAAACATACAACCAGGCAGAAACATTTTCCACCCCTTCAAACCTGCATCTCCCAAGAGGTAAAAGGCTTACATGTTCAGGCTTCTCCTGTTCTTTTCTGTCCGTCTGCAGAAACTGATAGTTTTCTCTTGCCAGCTTCTGGACCAGTTCGATTCGCCCGATATCATCTCTCTCTTGAAGCTTGCACATCACCCCTGCCTTAAGAGTTGGAGAAAGAGCGAAGATGTACTTAAATCCACAGTCCCAGGACATGACACCACTGCAAAGTTCACCTTAGAATAAGCTCATCTTTTCCATCGCCTGGATTAAAGCATGGTCTTGGTAAAATATTTTGCCTTTCCAAAACGGAAATTATATCATTTTAATCTAGGAACGCCACGCCAGGAGACTTAGAGTTGAGAGTCTGTATCAGTCTACTTTAAGAGGGTGAAGGGCAGAGAAAACTAAATCATTTGCCGCTAAGTGTGTGCCTGATATGCCCGTTTGTTTGTTCCTGACAGCCTGTTTCCTGTTACATAAGCAGAGCCTCGCAAGAGGTTAAAAACTCATGGGAAAGTTAGCCAGGAACCACGCTGGCAAAAGGGTGAAGTGATAGAGTCCTAAAAATAACAGTACACAACCTCCCAAGTCCACCCAATCACTCATTTTGTAGACACACAGTTAACAAGAAAGATCACAAGATAATTTTTTTTCACAACTGGAAAATTACTATGGGTCATTAGTAAAACACCCCTGGTACTGCATGAAAAATGGTGAAAATTTTTATTAACAATAAGAAATTGAAAAAAGAAAGCTTGAAATTTCATTCATCAGGGTTTGGAAATGATCCCTAAAGCATCATATTTTTAATAAGGTCAAATAATAATAATAATGATAATATGACGAGGGAGGTGAATCTAGGGCTTCACAATTGGAAAAGAATGTTCATTCTAATGCACAAATTATGAACTGTTTCTGCTCAAATTCTTTCCAAAATGGTTCATATTGACATACATACCAAGACATGATCTAATAAAGAAATCTGAAATTATACTTGGCAGGAGTAGTTAATGGAATCTTTGTTTTGCCCAACACAACCTACAGGATTTGAATATACTTAGTAACATGACCAAACATGGGGAAGGGGCCAGCAACGGATCCAAAGCTTTGCAGTTTATGCTAAGGATACCCACGTTGTTGAGTGGGCATCAGAGAAATGGAACCATCCGTGCAAAGTAGTGACTAAAGTTTTATTCCCAAGGGCAGTGACATCTCTTTATCTGCAGTTTCTCCAACTAGGAAGGAAGGAAACAAACAAAAAAAATCCGCTGACGAGGCCTAAATCACAGACTCCCAGAGGACAGCAAGTGGAATTCCTCCACCGAAGTCAGAGATTTATTTTTACAACATCCCTCACAAGAGGTTTTCCAGTTCCTTTCTAAAGTTTCCTTGGATAGGGACCTCAGTTTATCTTAAGACAGCCAGTACACTGTCAGACAGCCAGAACTGTTGAAAAAATCCCTTATCACATTAGACAAAGCTCCGAACCCATTTTACTTCGACCCATGAGCACTAGTTTTGCTTTTTGAAGCAACTGAAACTAGGCCTATTCCTTATCCAGTATGACAAGGTTTCAAATATTTAAATACAAATACCATATCCTCCTTTTAGTATTCTCTAGATATATATCCCTAGTTTCCTACTTATTGTATTTATTCATTCATTCATTCATTCACTCAACAGATGATATTTGAGCAGCAACCTACTATAGGTTCTAGGGATTTTGCGGTGATCAACGATAGAAATGTCCCTCATGTCATGGAGCTTACACTCAACAGAGAATCTAAACTATACAACAGATAGATATGAAATATCACGTGGTAAGATAAGACAGGAAGGAAAATAAAGCATGATAAGGGCACAGAGACATAATTGGAGGCATTATTAAAACAGAAATGTCAGGAAAGGATTTTCTAGTAAGATGGCACTTGAGTGGCAACTCAAAGGAAGAGAGGAAGAGATGACATGGATATCCAGACAGAGTATGTTCCAGGCAGAGAAACAGTAAGTGCAAAGACTCCGAAGCTTGGTGTGTTTGGCATGATCAAGGACGAGCAGAGAGAGCAGTGTGGCTAGAACAGAGCTAGTAAAGGGCATACTGCTAGGGTCGGTCAGAGAGGTGATGTGGAATCAGATTACGTAGTTTCCTCACAGGCTTTATAAGGTGTGTGGTTTCTTTTTCTGAGCGAGATAGAAATCCTTTGGAAGGTTTTGAACAGAGGACTGGTATAACCAGTTGCATTTCAGCAGGATCACTGTGTCCTGGGTTAGGCGGGGGGTTGTAGTTACAGCTAGAAGGCCAGTTAGGAGACTGCTTTCCACAGGAGATGGCTTGGAGCTTGTGCAAGCGGTGGAGATGGTTAAGAAGTGGTTCCAACCACTGGGTGTATTTCACGGGGTGTATTTCAAAGAAGGGGCAGGCAGACTCCTAAGTATTCAGCCTGAGCGACTGGAAGGATGGTGCTGTCACTGAGTTTGGAAAGACAGGGAAGGTTGGAAGGGCTGGGAAGGAAGACGTCTGTTTCACTTCCCAGTAGAGTTGCGGGGCTGGCACTCTGGGGGTTCAGGCGAGAGGTCCAGGCTGTAGAAGGAACTTGGGGGTCATCAGAGTGTAGACAGTATTCCTCTGGTTTTACCAATGCAGTGGTGTGGGTCTAGGCACTGAGTCTCATGTTTAGATATTGGGAGGATGAGGAGTAATCAGAAAAGGAGACTCAGGAGAATCGTCTCCAGGAGGAGGATCTGAAGAAGAGAGAAGGAAGTGCTTCAATGAGGAAAGAGCAAAAAACTCCATCAAATGCTGCCGAAATAGCAAGCAAGATGTGTTCAAAAATAATTTACACTGAATTTAACAGAAGTAACTGCTGACTTGCAGGAGAGCAATTAATTTCCTTTTGAAGCAGTTGGGACAAAAGCTTTATTAGCACAGGTTCAACAGGGAGCGGGAGACAGTCCTTCCAAAGAGTTTGTGAAAACAGGGCGCTACTGAAGAGCGAGGCTGAAGGGAGTTTTGCTTGCTTTAAGATGAGGGATATTCCAGCGTATTTATCTTTATTAGACATCACCCAGTAGAGAACGAAATTCAACAACGCGGAGGGAAAGGGGGCATTTTCAAGACTAATGTTCTCGAGTAGACCAAGTAGGATAAAGATCTAACCTCGGGCAGAAACATGAATATAAATATTTCATCCACTAGAACAAGAGTGAAGTGCAGTGGTAAATATGCAGGTAGGTTGGCATATTTGGTGGTTGGGAACATCTGGAAGTTCTTTTCTGAAGGCTTCTATTTCTCATAAAAATAAGAAGTGAAGTTATTAACCGACAGTAAGAATTGTGTGGAGAAGACGCTGGCGGTATAAGGAAGGCAGGCATGCAACAGTCATTTCAGTTGCAAGCACTGGAAAACTTTTATTTGAAAAGGGCCAGAGAATAAATATTCTAGGCTTTGTGAGCCATGGGGGTCTCTGTTGAAACTACCCGGTTTCGCAGTTTTAGCCCCAAAGCAGCAAGAGACTACGTGTAAACGAATATGCACGGCTATGTTCCAATGACGCTTCATTTACAAAAACAGGCAGTGGGCTGTGGTTTGTCAACTCCTGGCCTAGGAGAAGAGGAAACTGGGCAAGCGAAGTACAATAAGATTGTCAAGCATTACTAGGGGCACACTTTCATTTTATTTTTAGATCCTTTTACCATCCTAGCCCTCCTCCTTAGGGCATATTTCTGTTTGTTAGGATTTTAATGGAGCCCATGACCTGAGGCAATGCTAAATATACAGGCTGATCCTGAAGATGCTCTTTTAATCAATACTAACGGGGGTAAAAGAGTTTCAATGGTGTAAAGCAACCTCCTTCCAACTATGAAGACATGGACACATTTGGGGCAATTTCGACTCACAAATGACTGACATGCTTTAAATGTTTTGACACTTAAAAGAATACATTTCTGTTATCTAGGAAATCCATTTTTGTCAACCACCTAAGATTTCTTCTCTCTCTTTCCATGTCGTCTGCACAGTGTTTAATACACTGTCCTGCTAGTGGGGAGAGGATGCCGATGACCATCCGACCTGGGCACCTGCTCCCTGGTGCCATGGGTGAGCCCTGAGCCCCCTCTGCTCCCCAGCATGGCCCTCCTGTATGAGGGGGGGCCTGAGGCCCAGCCAGTGGGGGCACACAGGTGGGAGTGCTATGGAGTTAAGTCACTCAGCTCCCCATTGAGCCCCTTCCCCTACTCCTAGCAGCACAGGCTGCAAAGCAACTCGGCTAAGCTCCCACGGACTCTGATCTGGAACCAGTCTTTCCTTCTGCCTGGAGGTCCCCAATACAGAGGGTTTTAATTAATTAGTTTGTTTATTCATTCACTCATTCACAAAAGCATCAGCAATAAAAGGCTGGAATTAAATAGAGGAAACCGAAGAGGTCTTGACTCTATTTTTGGTTTTGGTGTGAATGTGAGTTTTTAAAGAACTTTAAACACTCTTCATATCATATGATTAGGGTCCTATAAACACTGACTTTTCTTTCAGGCAGAAATATTTTTATTAGAACCAGACACTTGGGTACACAAATGAAATATGTATTTTATACAAACAAACAAAAAAAAGCCATTACTTTTTAAAGTGGGCTTCAGACTAACTTATTTTATATTTATTTCATATCTTATACTGAAAGAAGGAATATTGCTGTCTTGATTTTTCTGGTTTCTATATGATTTCTAGATGCATTTTCACAAGATAATCAATTCTATAGCACTCCTTACATAACAACTATCAAGAAAGGCTTTCAAGGAAGGTTATAAATGCTTCTTCATTCCCTGGAGGACTTTAAGCCCATCTATCCTAAATGGTTTGTAAGGCAGGGCTCTTTGGAAGCACCATGCTAAGCCAGATGTTCTCTGAGGGCCCCTTTCACAGCTCCATAATTTAGTGATTTAATTCAAAAAACCCATGAATTTATTAATATATTTTGGGAGATTTCTTATGGCAGGTGAAGCAAGATAACTAACAGCCTTCGATCTAGATTTTCACATTCTTGGTCTATTTAATTTATCTATGTGAAATTCATTATAAACAGTTTACCTGACACTGCTAAGCCAGAAAAAAATAAAAGATTCATGTATAACTGTCAGAAGAGTTATTTAAGAGCCTTATTTCAAGGTCTGTTTTAAAAAAAAAAATCTCTGTAATGTATAATTGAAGCTATTCATATGATTTTTCAGCATTTGAGAAGAGAAATGTTATGAATGTAAATGAAAAGCCTGTTTCCTTTACAAATGAAGTCATAAAAAAATGTTGTGTCCATCCCCTTGGTGGTAAAATGAAATCTAAACAAGATTCCTTAGGAAAGACCACATGGATGATGAATGAACATCATACTGTGACAAGAGGTGAAACAACATGGTTCTATGTATGAACACATTTTCTGCATTATCTTAACTTTAAAAAACACCTTTTCTAAAACACCTAGGTAAAACATTGTGCAAAAATTGCTATCAAGGGAAGTGAAACCAGGAAGAAAGAGTCCAGCTTTCATGAAAACACTTTTGTATTAATAGAATGCTATTCAATACGAAGTCAGGGTATTTGGATAAATTCTTATTACTACATAATGCATTCATTTCATTAAAAATTAAACCTTGAATAGAAATTCATAGGGTTTTTTTTGCTGTTTTAAATAAAAAATATAAATGACAGACTAAAACACTGATGGGTTGAGATGAGATATTATATCGTTCAACTGTATGTACCTAGTTCCAAAACAAAAAATATTAAGAATTCTTTCCAGGAAAATTTAGATGACAGTTCACAGTCAAAAAGTAATCTTAGGGCAGCAAGTATTCATTTTTTTCAAATTTCTTCAAAGAAAGAAATAACACTATGAAAAAGCTCTCCCTGTTAGGAGCAGAAAAATATGCATTTTGATAATGGGGGAAAAAACTATGAAGCAAGTGTCCGTGGTGATAAATACACACAATAGAAAGTGTGACCGTCAAGGTGGGTGTACTAATCCACAGAGTGTCACCAATGCTGGCCTTAGACTCCATACTGGGGGCGGCATGGAGCCTCAGAAATCATTCATTGAGTCCGAGCCCCTCACTCTACAAGCAAGGCGATGGAAGTTCAGGGAGGCTCCTTCCTTGGACCTCCTCCTTTGTGAATTACTTTTGTTCATACACTGCCCCATTGGATCTCCATCCTGTAAAAATACTGTGTGATATCACATCCTGCCAGAGCATGCTGAGAGCAGGGAAAAAGGCAGAAATCACAGCTGCATGGAATTTGTAACTGTTATTTCCCTCTAATACTATCTTAAGCTATTATACTGAAAGAATTAGGCCTTCTGATTAAACTCAAAATATAGAATTATAAATTTACATAATTGACAAAATAGGGGGTTCACTCATTTCACATACTTGATTCCTTGAACTTTCAGACTAAAACACTGAGTCCACCAATATTCTATATTGTTTTGCCCTGAGAGAAATTACAGCTCAGATCTGTATACATTATTGATCACACTGCTAAGCAGGGCAGCAAAGTTGAAAAATAATAAATAAGTAAAAAAAGAGAATAAGCAAACTTTAATAAGTTCCAACATAAAAGATTTAACAGGATCACCTGTTTTCTATGACAGCCTTAAATAAGAGCTTTCTTCAGTATATATTTTATTAAAGTTACTTTTTGGCTACTGACAAATTATCAAATATTTGGCAATTAACTTATATAATCAACAATTGTTATCACTTAATATTAAAATGATTGGTTCAAATGTGGGACAGGAGGCAAAATAGTCATTGAATCCAGTGGCCAATGGCCAATGGAATTAAAGCAAGAATTTCCAAAGTTCAAAACGTTATACATTGTTCATTGAAGATCTAATTAGAACCCTTAAGCTAGAACCTGATAAAATTTCAATACATTCTGACAAAGATTCGTTAATCCTTTTGCCCTATATAAAGAGTGAGAGTAACACCACATCCCAGCCCTGTTAAATATCTTAAATATTCAAACCCAAAACAACGAGATTGATGATCAGGATGATAATTACTTATAAAGGCTAACATTTCTGAGTGCTTACTGTGTGTCTGGCGCTATTCTAATTGCTTCACATGTAGCCATTTAATCTGCAAAACAATCAAACAATTATCTCCATTTTACAGAAGTTAGAAAGGCAGTTTGCATAGTGGTTAAAAGCAAAGACACTGGAGCCAAACTGCCTTGGTTTGAAACTTGGCGCTGCCTCTCACCTGCTCATCTATAAAAGGGTGGTCATTATACTATGTACCTTATAAAGTTTGCTCTGAGGTTTAAATACATTAATAAAAACAAAGAGCCTTGAAGAGTGTCTAGTATGTATGAAGTGCTGCCTAAGTGTTAACTCTCAGTAATATTACAGAAAAGGAAGATGGACACAGGAGACTTAACTTGCCCAAGGTGACGGCTGCAGCCAGGAAAAGAACCCAGGTAGTCTGGCCCTGGAGGCAGCGCCTCTAAATTTCATGCCTAACATTTATTGAAACTCTCCTATGTGCCAGGATTGCAAACTTTTAAAAAAATGTTGTTTCATTTCAATCTCATGACAACCTTATAATATCTCCATGTTACAGAGATTAAAAAAAAACAAAAACAAAAAAAACATGCATCCTAGGTACTGCTTAGCACAGTGGGGACACCACAGGGACAAAGAGTCAGGCACCCAGCAGGAACTTACAGGTTTAGAGCTGCTAAGGAAATTGCCCTGAAGGAAGAAGGGCTGGGATGCAAACCCAGGTCTGAAGCTTTCTTCACTCCGCCCACATGTCACAGCATTAAAACAGGGAGTTTCTTAGCCAGAAAAGATATTTTTATTGAGAGAAAGAAGAAAGGAGCCAACGGGTGAGGGAAGATTAGCACTCTCTGGTAGGTGGGAGGCCAGAGGTACAACAAGGCCCCTGTCTCACTGGGGTTAGTGACCGTCTTAACTCTTTATATACCCAAAGTTTTCAACAGCCTAGAAGCATTTTCCCAAAGTAACATATTTATCAAGTATGGAGGTAACATAACATATTTATCAAGTATGGACAGTAAGGAATGAGAAACCAATTTCTGTTTAACTTGCTTAAAATTATTTCCATACTCTGAAGTGAAGACTTGGAATCTGAAATATGGTGGAGTCTGGCATATAAATGGTTAAGCAATTATACATAATACATCAATCAAATAAATTGCATGTGCAAATTATACACACATGTACACACCCATGAGCATACACATTTATTTCTAATTCTGCCTAGGTATCTAATGGCAAAACCTGAAAATTTTCTTTAAGTTCATCCCACATGACTTGAACTGAACTGCCAATTCTACCCTGGGCATTGGTAGAGATCGGCCTGGGGAATCAAACCAATAGAACGGGTGGTTCTACCACAGTAGCTGTTCAGGCTTTCTCAGACAGACCAGAGGAGATGCTGCTGCCCTCCTTCCTACTGGGCCTGGGCTTGCAACACTCATAATTATGCCTCCCAGTGAACTTAACTCTTGATGTTCAAACCTAAACAGAATCTGTTCCTGAGCTAATTATCAATTTATGGGTTTCATGATTTCATTCTCCTCTATATCCTGTAGATGTACAGTTATGTCATTGTTGCTGAACAGAATCACAAAAATCCTAAAGAGCAAGGTCTGTGTATCCTTTTGGGAAATAAAACGGCATTCAAGCAGACATTTGCCCACAGAGTAAGTTCAAAACAAATAAGGAATAACAGTTTAAATTTAGAAAACACTTGCCCCACTAACAACTAAAAGATGCAAGAACTCTCGAGAGAGTAATAAATACACTGAGTTAGGAAAGCCCTGCATAGGTTTGCTTGGAAGGCTGACCTATAATTTCAACATGAACTCATAGATTGCAGTATTTTTAATATTACCATCATAGTAAAACAATGCAAATTTATTAAAACACTATAATCTGTGCAATCGTGACTGAAAAAATCAATGTGATTATTCTGACCTGAATCAGTGGACTTGGAAGCTTAAAGGTGAAGTGACGGGCCAACCAGGCTAATTAAGAATCTTTAAAGAGTCTGTAAATGCTCCACTGTTATATAAAGTTAATAGCTGATAGCACCAAGGTGTCCAAGGTTTTTATTGCCACGACAGTATCTGGAGGTAAGTTGCTGCCAAAGGCACATATGCGCCATAGGTTCGCTCTGGAGGGACAGCAGAGCACCTCTGGTAGGTCAATGCTGCCTGCCGGCTCATTCCCCTGTGCCTTCTGCAGGGGAAGGTCTGCCCTAAGGGTGGCCTCTTCTTCTGGTTCTCCACTTATGTTCCCTGCTTTCTCTGGGAAGTGGACTGTGTCTATCTGTCCCTCTCTTGTGAATCATGTTGTAAATATGGTTAACAATTTAGGGCCCTTCTTGTGAAATACCTTGATATCAAAAACAAGCACTTTATTCCCAGTAATATGACTATTTACAGAACACCCAAGGCAACTCCTGTGTCACTTGTGAACACCTGTACTACCTTACCGCCCCTGGCCCAGAAGAGTACAACAAATGAGGGGCTGTCACAGAACCGATCCTACCTGCGAATCTGGAACACCTTCGGCTTCCGTTACAGTTACGTGTTTGTCATTGTTTTCTTCATCTTGTTCAATTGCTTAAAAAAAAAACAACAAAAAAAAAAACTATTGAACAAATGTAGCAGCATAAGAAAAATGTTTCAGACAACTTTCTTTCGGATAGCAATTTGGCAGGAAAACATGATGGTAGGTGGATTCATAAAATGTAAATCCTGGCACTATTTTTTGTTATTCAAATGGAAAGTTAACTAATAGCACTGAATACTTTTCATGTACTTTATCTCATGTCTTAAAGCAATGGCAGCAGGAAATTTTCATCTCAACTCTCCTCTTCACCTAAACTCATCCAGACGTCAGTATTGTGCTTTGCCAAAACAGAAGCTGGAGGTATAGATGAAGACTTCTATTCATTTCATGTGAGAGCAGTCATATTTTTTTAAATGTGGTTTTCTGGCTGGCAGTTTAAATGTCATATAATAAAGGAAGCACAGTATTTTATATCTGGGTTGCTTAGTGCATTGTTACCGTGAAATTCCACACTGCGGAGTCTCAAATTCGCCTCTCCCCTCCTGAGCATCTCCCTATCCAAGACCTTGTCACCCTTTCCTCACTGGTGTGATAACCTCCTACACAAAGCTCCCGACTCCAGCGTGGGCACAACTGCTAAAGTAATCAGTCTCAAAAAATATAAAAACAGCATCGCCAGGTTTTGGCCTATGTGTTGCTTAGTTTATTAAGTCTGAACTTCTGCTCGATCATGGAAGGGCCTTCTTGATCTCTCTAGCTTCACCCAATCTCGAACTTCACACTGACACTCAACTCCAAAACTATTCTACGTTACTCTGATCCAAGCGTAATGACTGGACTGCTTTTGCCTTTAACTTAATACGCTTGCTCTCCCTTTTTTAATAAATATTAATTGAGCACCCACTCTGTCCACAGCAGGGCACACTGACATTTGACGAGCCTGATGGTGTATAGATCACGATAAATTCAGATTTGAGCCTAAGAAGGAATTGCATGAGTTGACATCTATTTCTGAAAGTTCTTTTTGGCTTCTTTGTGGAGAACAGACTTAAGAGAAGGAAGCGTGGAAGCAGGGAGACCAGTTTGGTGACTGTTGCTATCGTCCTGCCTAGAGATGACGATGGCTCAGACCGCGGGCGGCTACGAGCAGGAGAAACATGGAGCACTGGAGCCGTGTTTTTATACAAAATGGCACAACTTGCCAATGAACTGAAAAGGAAGATGAGGGAGAGGCAGCAATCAAGGACGACTCCTACGCAGAGTGAGTCACTGCTTGTATCTACCACACCATGTATCCTTTTTGCACTCTCCATCAAAACATTCCAACCTAGCTGGCAGTCAGGTCACCCGCTGTATTTAAGGATTCAGTTTGCATTATTTTGTGTATTTTTAAATATCGTGCTCTCTGCTCCATATTTTTTTAAAGTACGACTTCATGTACCTTTTGCTTTTGTATGCCTTCCACGCCTGCTGCGTGGTGCTTACCACGGAGCCCACCTACGAGGCTGTGGATTAAGCACGGCTCTGCAGATGCTAACTGGCATGAACAATTCATCCCCAAGTGACCAACATGGCACTACTTGACTACACCTACTTGTGTAATAAGCTACTTCTTTTGTACCTATTTATGAAAGGAGGAGGGAGGAAAACGCTTCTGTTAACCTCCACAAATACCTAGGATAACTCCTACCAGCTGAGCACCTAAAGGAAAGGTAGGAATAGCTGAAGTGGGCAGAAGCTTTTCTTCTATTTTCAGAAAAAAGTTCCATTCATGCTCGTTCAAAGGGGTCCCCTGCAGTTAGGAGGAAACGGAAACTTAAGAACAAAGAAAAACACTCATGTTCTCTCTGAAAAACTAGAGGCAAGAATATAAAGGGCAAAATAAAAGATAGAATAACATCCTAAATTCCACTTAAAAATGCAGTGGGCTATGGAAGTAAGGAGCTCCACTTAACCAACTGAAATATGAGAAGTCCTTTCTCATTGTGGAAAGGGGAGTCATTTTCTTGGAGGGCAGGCTGATCATATACCAATGTGGGGTAACTTCACGTGAAGAACAACCATACTTTGGCACTTAATTTGTGCTTTATTTGAATTTTTGCTCTTCAAAGTTTAAATTTTGATGAAAATGAAGAAAATTAAATTTTGGAATCTGTTTTTAAAACAACATTCTACAGTACAGGCATTTCTCTCTCTTTTTTACCTCTTGTACTAGGACACAGAACATGCAAGACAATAACAATTTCGGGTGAGAATTAACACTATTTTTAAAGAGTCAGGCATAATTCTTAATATACAGAAATAGAATTAAAAGGAGAACAGATGAACATAAGAGCACACTTGGGATAAAACGTCTGTCCTGCATTTCTAGCTTATCCCCAACAATGCTACATTTACTGTCACATCTTTGAAGATCTCAAAATCTGTTGCCTAGCATTATGCTGAAATTAACAGAGTGAGAATTACAAACACAAGCAAGTTAAAGGACCTGGCAGAGGTAACTCAGCAATCTACCTCAATCTGCATAATGGAGAGTCTCAAAATACTGCCAGACTCTCAACTTCAACCCGCATGATGATGAAGAGAAGAGAGCATTCTCTTCCAACACATAAATAATATCACTTCCTTGGAAATGCTGAAAAATTATAATTCCAAAAACTCATTTTAGCCAGTGGCTCACATACACTACCTGGGAACAAAAACTTATTTATCTTGGACTTCCAGGGATTTAAGATTAGCCCATGAAGTCACAAGCATGAAATAAATACACAGAGTCACCTAAAAGGGGAGTGAGTGCTCCATTGACCTTTCAATGCATAATGTCAAAGAGTAAATAAGGAGACAGTTTCTCTCTTTATGCCCTCTAGGGGTGTGGCTTACCTGGTAGAAGAAGGAGGAAGCAATTATTTAGATTTTTGACTTTATTTTTTTCTTTTATCTGTTCAGAATAAGGGTAGGTTGGGGAAATTTTCCTATGCAAATATTGATTCTGGGACGGTTCCCTCCAGCAAAACACGTACACAGGAGTGACAGCTTCTGGGGCTGAGGGAGGCTAGGAGCCTCTCTCTCTGCCAACACAAACCATCTCCTTATCTCTCAACACACAGAGTCGAAAAGCAAGCAAAGGCCTTTGAAAATAACATACCATAACAAAAGACTCAAGTACAAGATCTAAAGCATACACTCTGAATAGCAAATATTAGAGCCCACATGAGAATGAAGAATACATGTGGATTAATTAACACTAATTCACATAAGAGTACCTAGTTTAAATGTATCTATTTGTAAATTAGCCAAGAGGGATTCAAGATGAGCTGCTGTTGACAGCCTCTAAGGATTTTAAGGCTTATCTTGACATCACTTTCTTGTTGCTTTGGGGACAACAGGTTTTCTCTATGACTTACTAGGATAGGTGCTAAGAAAACTCTCCTAGTAACTCTACTAATAATATTATTTAAACACAAAGAGGGTTGATGTCCTTTCAAAATGATGCTTATTGAATTTCTGCTAATGAATTCTGAAAGGGTAAGAGCTACACTAACAGAAAAAATTAAATTTTCTGATGACTTTGCACATCAGCAAATCCATCCATGGGGGTCCTGCCTGACCAGGACTTCTTCTCTTTTCTTTTTTTAATGAAATAGAATGGCATAAAACAGAAAGAATAGGAAAAAATTAAGATCCAAATGCATTTTTCACAATTGTAAATGAAATGTGTACCAACTTGGAATCTTTTGTGTGTTCTGAGTGTTGTGGACATAAAAATGTTTGGAAAACACTGTAGTGTTTCCAGGCCACAGGAGGCAGAACCCAGTTCCTCATTATCTAAATCATCAGCTATTTCTTGCTCCATCCTGGAAAGGGGTCATAATATTTACTTTAGGTGTTCGCTCAGCAAGACTCTATTCACATTTGGCAAGTTCATACCCTGCGGGAGGGCATGGTAACAAGCTCGCAGGGAGAAATATTTATAGAGCATACTACTTTTTGTTATCGATATATAATCACAAATGTGTCTAAATGCTCAAATCTCTTCTATTCCTTAGAAAGGAAAAAAAAAAAGCAGTTATAACCCTTCACCTCATCACCATATTTTTTTCAATGTTAAAATTAGAAAAATAGGAGTCAGTATTCACCATCAAGACACTCCACATGGTATTATATTATAAACTGGCCCATGCAATGCTATTGAACATTGAACTTCTCTTTGAAAGCTGACCAATAACCACTACAGCTCTGTCCCAATAGCTTTTTCTGAACCCCTATCTATTCAGTCTGACTACTGAACTTGAGACTGTTGATTTTAAAACACTTTTCTGTGTCCTAACTGTCCTTAAACCATCTAAAAATGTAAGTTTTCCCCCAGGCTCTCTCTTTGCCTCTTTCCTTGGTGATCTTATCTGTTCCTAAGGTTTCAACTTGCACTGCTATGCGGGTTATCCCCAAATCTATGTCTCCATCTCTGCCTGCTCCTCTGAGTTCCAGGCCCACATTTCCAGCTACACATTGAATGTTTTCATTTTACAGACTGTAACATATCTGCTGCATACAAGCTGCTATGTTCTCACTCATACATGGAATCTAAATATTAAACCTAATGGATCTTATGGAGACAGAGTAGAATGACGGTTATCAGAGGCTGGGAAGGGCAGTGGGGAGGGGGATAAAGTGGAGATGGTTAATGGTACAAAACTATAGTTAGATAGTTAAAGAGAATAAACAATATCCGATAGCACCACAAAGTAACTGTAATCAACAATAAGCTAAAGTATACTTTAAAATAACTGAAAGAATGGAATTGGAATGAATGTTCTTAATGCAAAGGCATGATAAATGCCTAAGGTGATGGGTACCCCAATTACCCTGATTTGATTAATTCACATTTTGGGCATCTTTATTAAAACATCACATGTACCCTATAAAGATATACACTTATGGTGTAGCCATAACTTTAACAATTAAATAATTGTTAAAATTATAATAAGTTAATTTAAAATTAATAATTTTAAAATAAATAATAATTTTTAAATAAATCAATAAATTAAACAAG